ATGGTAAAAACAGTTTGTACCAGTTATTTACAATCAAACCTTTTCTCACCTCATATGATGTCACTGCATCACGCGTGATCTCTCAAGTGAAGATATTGCAGTCGAGCCTGGAATGTTGCCATGGTGACGAAGATTGCAATTTACGATTCTTAGTACAAATGGAAAAGATTCGAAAAGATCGTCAGCACAGCCCTGTATTAGTTTGATTGAGTCTTTGAAAACCTTTCCAGGGAATGAGAGTTTTCAATTGCAACTGAATTTGAAAAATAAAGTATTTTCGTATTTCTTCTTCATTTCTCTTTGTGTAGCTCTCTGAAGCTTTTAGAGTCTTTTCAGTAATGTTACCTCGGCTTCTCATATTTTTAATTTTCAACCGTCAGAGCAGACCATCGTCCTCAGTCAGTCCTCCAGATTAGGCCATGGAACCAGACCACATCGGCAGTCCATAAGATCCGCCCCAGATCAGACCACCACAATAGACAACCAGATGAGTCTCAGATTCGGCCACAGATCAGACCATGCACCAACTCTCACATCAAACTATCGTCAGACCAGACCACCAGATCAGATCAGCCCACAGACTACCATCCATGGCTGCTCCACGTCAAATCAGCAAAGCACACCCAACCTCGTGAAATGGTACAGGTCAGGTGCATTGTTTGTGGGTTGGGTCAAGGAGGGTATGTAGAGCTCTGGATGAACCTTGCAAAGCATACTTTCCACACACGTTCGGCCTGAAGTTTTCGGACATCTTCTCCGGCTTAAATTAACTGTAGTTAGATCAGTTAGCGGGGCTCCCGGGGCTGGTAAGGGCCTCCCCTTCCCTTTTTGATAAGTTGGGTTCCTTTGCAGGTGTTCGGTCAGCGACTTAAGTTCGGCTTTTAGGATTCGGCTCGGCTTCTAGGAAAAGGTTCGACTGCGTTTTTTCATCTTTTGCGGATGGACTCATCGCCATTTTTCGTCGTCGTCGTCGTCGTCGTCGTCGTCGTCACTGCAGTCTCCCGCTTAGTTGCGCCAAATTCAATTCATTACACTTCACTTGATAGTCATTGCGCTGGGCAAGTGAAGCATTCACTCGCAAGGTTCAACCAGACAGTTATTATTTTAAGAAGAAACTTTAGTAAACTAGAGACATAAGACCATTCAGTTACTGTAGTGAGAGGACCTCATTTGGCCTCCGCTTACAGGCTCAGTGGTCTCTCTGGTTACAGGTAGATAGTCAGGTTAGTCTCGCAAATTCGAGTCTGCCCCCACCTATACCAATTTGACTTTTCATGTTAAACAGTGCGAATGCAAAGCGAACATTTTTGATGCGCGTGGATTTTCAGACTTCGAACTTGTAAGGGTAGATCAGTTGACAGGTTTGGTCTTACAAAGAAGGTAATCTGCGATCAGGCGTTTCTTCCCGCGAAGAGCCAACACCTTTTTGCAGTTTGCCAGGGCAACATGGGACAATCCACACACCACAGGCTAGATCGTTTACAAATGGTAAGCGTAGGAAGTCTTCGAGACCAATCTACGACGCAGTTTCATCGCTGGAGGAGCACGAACAAGCCGATTGGCATTTAGCAACGTTAGTAGCCTGCAAAGTGATTACAAGAATGCTACTAGGCCGAATATTTCGGGGAAACACATGTGAAGGCCCACCATACCTTGATATGCGTGTCCCTGAATGGCATTCAGGTGAAAACCTCGAGGTGTCAAGGTTTTATGGACTCATGTCACACTCCTCGGTCTTGCTCGGACGTCAAATTCTAAGAAGTGCACCCCATCTATATAGACTAATTAATTTCTGTAAACAGTAAACCTTAATTAAATAAAAGCACTTCATCTAATGTGTTGTCTGTGTGGTTTTTTCTTTTACTTGAAAGCTAAATCTTTAGGTAAATTAATTTTAAGTACTAATGAAGATTTAATTTGCAGGAATATTATAAAATACTTGTTGTAATAATGGCAAATAAAGAAATAAAACAAAAATAAAGCACGAGTTTTGAGTGTGATATCTTTTAACTGCCCACATTAAGTGACACTGAGTGTCGCATCAGCGTGTTCGCTATTAAAACACAAATGACTAACTCATTTAATTTCAGGTGCGTTGGAAATCGATAAATTTATGTGTTTTGGACTACTCCGCCACTTTTTGCGAGGGTGAATGGACGCACATTTTTTGGGCGCGCCCTCTCAAGATGACTTTTTTCTGACCATTGTACAGCGTTTTGGATGCGTTCTTGAAGAAACGCATGGCACTAGCTACCTATTTTGAAAGTTGTACCTGAGGTCATCAAGGAAGGGCAGGAGCATTAATATTAAGGTTAATGTGATTAAATTGTACGTAATTAAAAGTTGATGAAAAATAAAGTTTATAACAAACGAAAGTTATATCATCAGCTTGTTTGTTTGTTTTTGTGTTAATTAAACCAGCGCTAACAAATTTAGATAACTTAGATTATGTTGTAACGGAGTTGCTTCTGAGGAAAAAAAATAAAGTGTGACCAACACATTGCCGTTTCATCATTGTATTTTTTCTTTAAACCGATAATAAATAATTAAAAAGTTTTATTTCAGGAACATCGTACGTCGTTTTTTACATCTTTTTTTGCTCGAACATCGCCGCCTCGAAGACGTCTTTTTGGGCGCGCCCTCTGAAGAACGACCACAGCAAACTAAATGCATGTAACGTATGCTCTCTAGAAGCTCATTTGGAAGTTTTTTCTGGTTGCGTTCCTGAAGAAACGCACGTCGATGCTGATTACGACTGGAAAACAAGTCAAAGTTCTAAAGGTAAGACAGATCTGTTTATGCTCTAACTGTTAGATTATCTCTTTGGGTTTCAGATTTAGTGCATGAAGTTAGCGTTCGACAGCGGCGTCTAAGAGGCAAGGAAAAGTGAAACGGAAGGTCAGTACTTTAAATTTGATTGTGCTGATACATGCCCTTATCCTCAGATGATACTAAAACTTATTCGTTCACACCCTAGTAGGATTCAAACCTACGAGATTTCTTTATTTACTGGTGCTCCTTGTGTACCAAAGAATGCAATTTTCAAGACTTGAAATTCCAAATGATGTTTGGCTGAATTCGAATCCGTTTGATGATAGCTGACAGTAGGGAATGGAGTGTGCGATTGGTTTCCAAGTGTGCAACAAAGGCAGTGTGTTGATGTTATTTATTGATTCTGTTTTTAAAAAAATATTTCATTTAGTTCGCAGACGTCCAGCAGTGATATGGTCCATCAGTAGTGATGTGCAACCCGTAAGTACAAGAATATAGCAAACCCTTCGTCTTCAAGAAGTTAGACAAGCATACCGACAAAATGACAGGGTCATTTAAGAAAAGATTTTTGCCATAGCTTTTGGCAAATGTGCTCCTACTGCAGCAAAAGTCGTAACTTTATAGGTAAATACTATTTTCCAGTGGGATTCAAACCCATGAACAATTTTTTTTTGCTTCATCAGGAAGCAAATGGAGATGAAAGGTTAATGAGATTCAAACTCCAGGATATCTGAGAGAAGCTGCATACTTTAAAATTCATTCTCAACTGCCCTGTTAAAACTGTTGCTTTGATAATCTGTTAGAAGACGCTTTTTGTTCAGGTCTTTGCAATTCCAGAAGTTGTTTCCAACCCGCAGTCGTAGCCGGCCCATTGGCATTGTGATTTTAGCACGTGACTCTAGCTACTAGGTCCGAGGTAAGTATTTGAAAGGTAAAATATGTTTACCCAAGTATTCTGAAAGGAAATGAAATGCAGCTTTCGATTATCATTTCAAGGCATGACTTTCACTCTTGTAATCATCGTATCAGAATCTCTACAAAGATAATTAAAAAATAACACGTTTAAATGGAAAACAAATCCAAGAGGTCATATCCGAAACAGCGGTTTGGCTACCACGTAGATAGACAAAAACTCAAAGGAGGAACATCTAAGGATGAAAAAGGATCAGTGACAGAATAATAATAGCAATAATAGGCTCTTGCTGAGTAACAAACATCTTTTCGATAAGCTAAATATCTTGTGCTTGAGATCTATTTTATAGAGATCCAGAAGAGTTCAGATGTCGCGCCTCGTCAGGTCTGCAGTCAGTGGCTTGGAAATTATTTGGAGGAGCCTTGGTTAACTCGACAGAGGCAAGTACAATCTTTTTCCTTCTAAATTGCAAAGAATAGACTTAAAGAAATTTGGCTGGGATCCAAACCGTGCGGAAATTTTAAAAGTGTTGTATGGAATTAGCTGGACTAAACATATGCTAAGACTGCAATAATAAAGTAGGAAAAGTGCTTAGCTAAACCTTTTTGCTGTCTGAAGTTTCACTAAATTTGCAAGCTGTCCTAAGTTTTTTTCCTAGCGAGATTTAGGGGCAGTCTGACAAGGCACCGTCAGTGAGTAGAGGGCTGGTAAATGTCTGACACCTATTGCGTCGATTATGATGATTATTATACATTGTAGCCATTACCTGTCTTCTCTTTTGGCTACGATCCTACAGCTAATTTTTGAAATCAGGGCAACCTACAGATTAGTTTGTTATCTGCTAGCAGATAACTGACTAAATCTGTAGCGAGTGCGTAAGCAATGTATGATTTCCACTAACAAAGTCAATTCAGGTTCCTTGCCACGGTGGGATTGTCATTATTTTCGTCAAAACGATGTATATTAAAACAATTATTGCATTAGGTTTTTCCACATTGTATGATGTCACTGCATCACGCGCGATATCCGCACGAAAATATTGCAGCCGAGCCTGGAATGTTGCCATGGTGACAAACATTGCAATTTACGATTCTTAGTACAAATGGAAAAGATTCGAAAAGATCGTCAGCACAGCCCTGTATTAGTTTGATTGAGTCTTTGCAAACATTTCCAGGGGATGAGAGTTTTCAATTCCAACTGAATTTGAAAAATGAAGTATTTCCGTATTTTTTGCTTCGTTTCTCTTTACGTAGCTCTCTGAATTATTGAGACCCTTCTCATTAGTATTACCTCAGCTTCTCATCTTTTTCATTTTCAGCCGTCAGAGCAGACCATCGTCCTCAGTCAGTCCTCCAGATTAGGCCATGGAACCAGACCACAACGACAGTCCATAAGATCCGCCCCAGATCAGACCACCACAACAGACAATCAGACGAGTCTCAGATCCGGCCACAGATCAGACCATGCACCAACTCTCACATCAGACTATCGTCAGACCAGATCACCAGATCAGATCAGCCCACAGACTACCATCCATGGCTGCTCCACTTCAAATCAGCACAGCACACCCAACCTCGTGAAATGGTACAGGTCAGGTGCATTGCTTGTGGGTTGGGTCAAGGAGGGTATGTAGAGCTCTGGATGAACCTTGCAAAGCATACATTCCACACACGTTCGGCCTGAAGTTTTCGGACGTCTTCTCCGGCTTAAATTAACTGTAGTTAGATCAGTTAGCGGGGCTCCCTGGGCTGGTAAGGGCCTCCCCTGCCCTTTTTGATAAGTTGGGTTCCTTTGCAGGTGTTCGGTCAACGACATAGGTTCGGCTTTTAGGATTCGGCTTTGCTTCAAGGATACGGTTCGACTGCGTTTTTTCATCTTTTTCGGATGGACTCATCGCCTTTTTTCGTCGTCGTCGTCGTCGTCACTGCAGTCTCCCGCTTAGTTGCGCCAAATTCAATTCATTACACTTCACTTGATAGTCATTGCACTAGGCAAGTGAAGCATTCACTCGCAAGGTTCAACCAGACAGTTATTATTTTAAGAAGAAACTTTAGTAAACTAGAGACATAAGACTATTCAGCTACTACAGTGAGAGGACCTCATTTGGCCTCCACTTACAGGCTTAATGGTCTCTCTTGTTACAGGTAGATAGTCAGGTTAGTCTCGCAAATTCGAGTCTGCACCCACCTATACCAATTTGACTTTTCATGTTAAACTGTGCGAATGCGAAGCGAACATTTTTAATGCGCGTCGATTTTCAGACTTCGAACTTGTGAGGGTAGATCAGTTGACAGGTTTAGTCTTACAAAGAAGGTAATCTGCGATAAGGCGTTTCTTCCTGCGAAGAGCCAACACCTTGTTGTAGGTTGCCAGGGCAACATGGGACAATCCACACACAGCAGGCTAGATCGTTTACAAATGGTAAGCGTAGGAAGTCTTCGAGACCAATCTACGACGCAGTTTCATCGCTGGAGGAGCACGAACAAGCCGATTGGCATTTAGCAACGTTAGTAGCCTGCGAAGTGATTACGAGAATGCTACTAGGCCGAATGTTTCGGGGAAGCACATGTGAAGGCCCACCATACCTTGATATGCGTGTCCCCTGAATGGCATTCAGGTGAAAACCTCGCAGGTTAAAGATAGTCTTTCAGAGAACACAGGAATAGCAGGAGAGGATACTCTTGTGTGGCATCGTTAACATCAAGACAAATTAGCTTGTCTTTTTGTTAATTTTGCCTTGCTGGAGAGTTTTCTTCTTAGGAAGTCCTGCATTGCACTACGCAGGCACAGATCGTCTACAAATGGTAGGCGTACGTAGTCTTCACGTCGACCGTTCGTGGCTATTGGTTTCTTTGCCTTCATCCGAAAGTGGCGTGCAGAGTTCTACCCCGACAACTCTTGAAGTACTTCATGACTGGTAGTGAATCCTAAAGCAACACGCTGTCTATTTACTTTTTTCCCTGAATCTTGTAACAAGAAATAGTTGCTTTTGTAAATGTGAATAAAAAGCTTTTGATGGTATGCTTGATCGTATTGTGTGTGATTGAATTGTGGGTCCATTGCTATATCAAGGGAAGAGGCCGGCCGAAGAAAGAAGAACAAAGAATCTCCAGATGTACAGAAAGATAGTCCAGTTTATTAAGTAGGCGAGGTAGCTGCCTTTGCGGCGATGAATTGAGAAGAAGCACATAGGACCAAACCGGACAATGATAATGATGATGATGGGGATGATGATGACGACGACTATGATGATGATGATCGTTTGCACTACGACATCGTTCTGCTTCTACTAAAGTTATTTTATTTATCGTTGGTTTAGGGTGATAATTGAACTGAAGAAAATCCCGCTAAAATGTAAATTGGCTATTTTGCAAACAGAAGCCGATGACATCATAGTGAAAACGACTTCATCATTAGGAAGGCAAGGTAGACAGAGGAGACAGCATATGGCAATAACTTTAATAAGCTGTCTTAACTAACATTGATATCTGTAATAAATGGCCCATATTCACTCCCCCAACCCTTTTCAATTTTTCATAAAATTTCTTAGTTACCGTAATTCGGAAATTAGTTGAATTTTTGTCATCTTTGCTGATACCTTGTTCCACGGTTCTAAACTCGCAAAGTCCAATGTTAGTTGAGACAGGCACCAATATGTTATTATTAAAATTTAATTGGCCGGCCGAACTTCACCTTTGGGCAACTTCACCTCATCATGGACGTTTACGACTTCTTCTTTTTTTTCCCAATACCTACGCCTTTTTTTTGGATTGTGGATGCAGTCTTCTTGGTCTTTTGGTGGAGGAACATGACGGTTTACAGCAGCCCATATAAGGTAGGGCCGATTTATGCTGGTACAAATTTTACGCAAAGCTGACTCGTTCGGTCAAAAATAAGAAAATCGGTGCATTGAATTTCCTCGTAAGGTTCGTAGCTTATGTAAACTTTGCACCACATCAATCAGCCCAAGTAATAATCCAGTGTCGCACAAGGTATGTGGATTTGTTTTCTATATATTAGGCGATTAGATTTTCGGTTCGGTCCATTCGTCTTTTTTCGGTTTCGATTCGACTTTTGAGCTGATTCCGCATTCGGCTTCAAAAACTGTGAAGGCTTGGTATAGACAAAGTTTCCATAGCAAGCCGCCAAATAACCCTGCGTACCGTCCGGGGACCCTGGTGTGTTTCATTCGAGGTGTCAAGGTTTTATGGACTCATGTCACACTCCTCGGTCTTGCTCGGACGTCAAATTCTAAGAAGCGCATCCCATCTAAATATAGACTACTTAATTTCTGTAACCAGCAAACTCAATTTAATAAAAGCACTTCATCTAATGTGTTGTCTGTGTGGTTTTCTCTTTTACTTGAAAGCTAAGTCTTTAGGTAATTAATTATAAGTACTAATGATGATTTAATTTGCAGGGATATTCTAAAACACTTGTTGTAATAACGGCAGAAAAAGAAATAAAACAAAAATAAAACACGGAGTTGTGAGTGTGATTTCTTTTAACTGCGCACATTTAGTGACACTGAGTGTCGCATCAGCGTGTTTGCTGTTAAAACACAAATGACTAACGTAATTAATTTCAGGTGCGTTGGAAATCGATAAATTTATTTTTTTTGGACTCCTCCGCCACTTTTTGGCTGGGGTGAATGGACTCACATTTTTTTGGGCGCGCCGTCTCAAGATGACTTTTTTCCGACCATTGTACTACGTTTTGGATGCGTTCTTGAAGAAACGCATGGCACTAGCTACCTATTTGAAAGTCGTACCTGAGGTGCTCAAAGAAGGAGAATATTAAGGTTAATGTGATTGAGTTGTACGTAAGTAAAAGTTGATGAAAAATAAAGTTTAACAAACAAAAGGTATATCATCAGCTTGTTTGTTTGTTTGCTTCTTTTTTGTTGTTAATTAAACAAGCACTAGAAAATTTAGATAAGTTAGATTATGTTGTAACGGAGTTGCTTCTGAGGAAAAAAAATAAAGTGTGACCAACACATTGCCGTTTCATCATTGTATTTTTTCTTTAAACCAATGGTAAATAATTAAAAAGTTTCGTTTCAGGAACTTCGTACGTCGTTTTTTACATCTTTTTTTGCTCGAACATCGCCGCCTCGAAGACGTCTTTTTGGGCGCGCCCTCTGAAGACCGACCACAGCAAACTGAATGCATGTAACGTATGCTCTCTAGAAGCTCATTTGGAAGTTTTTTTTGGCTGCGTTCCTGAAGAAACGCATGCCGATGCTGATTACGACTGGAAAACAAGTCAAAGTTCTAAAGGTAAGACAGATCTGTTTATGCTTTACCTGTTATATTATCTCTTTGGGTTTCAGATTTAGTGCATGAAGTTAGCGTTCGACAGCGGCGTCTAAGAGGCAAGGAAGAGTGGAACTGAACGTGAGTACTTTAAATTTGATTGTGCTGATACATACCCTTATCGTCAGATGATACTTAAAGTTATTCCTTCACGGACTAGTAGGATTCAAACCTACATTTCTTTTTTTAACTGGTGCTCCTTGTGTACCAAAGAATGCAATTTTCAAAACTTGGAATTCCAAAAGATGTTCAGCTGAATTCGAATCTGTTTGATGATAGCTGACAGTAGGAAATGGAGTCTGCGATTGGTTTTCAAGTGTGCAACAAAGCCAGTGTTTTGATGTTATTTATTGATTCTTTTTTTACAAACATTTTATTTAGGTCGGTGACGTCCGGCGGTGATATGGTCCATCAGTAGTGATGTCCAACCCGTAAGTACAAGAATATATACTAACCCTTCGTCTTCAAGAGGTTAAACAAGCATACCCACAAAATGACAGGGTCATTTAAGAAAAGAGTTTTGTAGGCAAATGTGCTCTTACTGGAGCAAAAATCGTAACTTTATAGGTAAATACTATTTTCCAGTGGGAGTCCAACCCATGAAAAATGTTTTTTTGGTTCATCAGTAACCGGCAAATCGATATGAAACGTTAATGAGATTCAAACGCCAGGATATCTGAGAGAAGCTGCATACTTAAAAATTCATTTTCAACTGCCCTGTTAAAACTGTTGCTTTTATAATCTGTTTGAAGACGCTTTTTGTTCAGGTCTGTTCAACTCCAGGAGTTGGTTCCAACCGCAGTCGTAGCCGGCCCATTGACATTGGGACGGGTGACCCTAGCGACCAGATCCGAGGTAAGTACTGTAAAGGTAACACACTTATCCTCGGATGCACTTATCCTCGGATGATTTTACCCAAGCTTTCTGAAAGGAAATGAAGCCTTTGATTACCATTCCAAGACATGAGTTTGACTCTAATATTCATCGTATTCGAACCTCTATCAAGATAATTAAACAATGTCAAGTTTAAATGGAATGCAAATCCATGCTAAGAGGTTATATCCGAAACAGCGGTTTCGCTACCACTTAGGTTGACCAAAACTTAAAGGAGGAACATCCAAGGATTAAAAGGAATTAGTGGCATAATGAATTTTTAAAAAACAATGTAAAACTTTTTTTTGCACCAGTCTCAATCGATGTTCTTGAGAAACTTTGCATTTAGGTCAGAAAACTGCTGATAGAAGTCAGCGGGCGGAAAAGCAACCCGGAAGTCTCTCTTTAACTATTACATAGAAAGTGACTGGAACGATCCACCTGGCAGATCGTAGGTAAGTACAGAAGAAAAAATACGAGCACTTTCAACCCAACCTTGCCCCCCAAAAAACACCAGGAAAGAAAACTGACGATAAAAGAACTCACTATGTGCATTTGCTCCAGTTGTGAGTCACAACTAAGTCTACTAAAACTGCATATTGCAAAATAGACAACAAGGACCCTCAACAAGAGGAGTCTATGCTGGCTGTATGTAGCTGTTAATTGAATTCCTTAGAGACAAATCACTTGAAGGTCCCTAAACACTTCTCCTTCAATGGACTTCCAATCCATGAACTTTGTTTAACTTTGACGTTACTTCAAACAAATACAAGGTGTTAGTGGGATTCAAACTAAGGCCACTTAACTAAGAAGAGGGAAATATGTAACAGCCTCTTAGTTGCTGAGTAACAAACATCCCTTTGATAAGCTAAGTATCTTGTTCTTGAGATCTATTTTATACAGATCCAGAAGATTTCAGATGTCGCACCTCGCCTGGCCTGCAGTGAGTGGCTCTAAAATTATGTGAAGGAGCCTTGCTTAACTCGACAAAGGCAAGTACAATCTTACTCCATCTAATTTGCAAAGAACAGACTTAAAGAAATTAGGCTGGGATCCAAACCGTGCGGAAATTTTAAGTTTTGTATGGAATTAGCTGGACTACTCATATGCTAAAACTGCAATAATCAAGGAGTAAAAGTGCTTCGCTAAACCTTTATTCTGTCCGAAGTTTCTTTAAATTTGCTTGCCGCTTTAACTTTTTTTTCTAGCGAGATCTAGGGGCAGTATGACGAGGCAATGTCGGTGAGTAGAGGGTTAGGTAAATGGCTGACCCTTTTTGCATCGATTATGATGATTATTGTACATTGTAGTCATTACCTGTCTTCTCATTGGCTAAGAGCCTACAGCTTATTTTGGAAAACAGCGCAACCTACAGATAGGTTAGTTATCTGCTAGTAGATAACTGACTAATCTGTAGGTTGCGCGCGCAATGTATGATTTCCACGAACAATATCAGTTCAGGTTCATTGCATCGGGTATTATTGTCGTTATTCTCTTCAAAACAATCTAAAATAAGACAATTATGAAATTCGGTTTCGTAATATTCTAAATAATCAAGGTCTCGGTAAGTGTTATCAGCCGAGCCGATTATTCCGGATATCACTAAAACCTCGTCCAATAATCGCTAATTATCTTGTTGATTGCAATGATGATGATGAGGACGACGACGATAATGGTAATGATGATGTCAAACAACGACGATGATGGAGATGCCATGTCTTTATTCAACAGGGGAAATTATCCATTGAAACTTTAGTAACTTAGACAACGTCCAAATGCGTTTTTTTTTTAACTAAAACGATAGAACTGTAATTGACACAACAGCAAAGACAAAAGCAACCTGAGTTCTCCCGATACTTCAGATGGTGTAGATGTTCGTCCCGGGGGATTTTAAGACCAGTAGGGATTACATTTGAAATATTACTTAAAATGCGGGTGGACTGATTGGAATCACAAAAGTAAAGAAACGAAAAAGGTCAAAAGAGGAAATAAATGTTGGAAAATGGAGCAGAAATGAATTTAAAATGACATATAAATAAAAGAAAAATGAAGAAAAAACAAACAGACAAAAAGTGATAAAATAATAAATAATAAAATGTCCTATAATAATGAAACTAAATATAAATTCAAATTAATAAAAATAGGGATAGTAATGATGATCACGATAATGATAATAATAATAGAAAAGGATTTAACAAGCAGCTGCAACAACAACAAAAAAAACTAGACTGATTTTTGACAACGTAACTAAGCAGTTACGTTTCAAAAATTCAGCTAGAAGTATTTACGCTTTCCCTTTCCTATTACAATCATTATTTACGATCATTATTATTATTATTATTTGAATTTAACTCTGTTAAGTAATATTTTAAAGTTAGTTCATTTTGGTTACATTCTTTAAATTTATTTGTTTATTTATTATTTACTAATATTTTAAATTAAGTTCATTTTTGTTACATTCTTTAAATTTATTTACTTTTTTGACCTTTTTTTCTCCTTGTTCTTTCGCGAGCAAGTCATTATTTTCAAGATTTATCCCTATTGACCTGTATTTTTATTTTGAAGTTTTAGACAATTGTATCAAATTTCCAACTATGCTGCAATCATACTATATAAACACGACCTGACTATCGGCAATATCTGGAGACGCAATATAGCTTTTGTCTTTGCTGTTTTGTTTTTATAGCTGATTAAACGTGAGGACTCAATGAAGGAGTGGGTGGTAGGGTGGGGGGTGGGGTGGGGGCTAGTAAGCTTGATAATGAGTTCGGTTGAACGTGTGGTCTTGACTTAGTCTTGAGAGATTTTAGGAGCCGTGAACATGGACAAGCTAAGCAACCTGATGTGGCATTGACGATGTGCTGCCTATAACGTTAATGATGACGAGGACGACAATGCTGATGCTGATGTTGATGCTGATGTGCTGAGAAAGAGGATGATGAAGATGAAGATGATGACAATGACTGCTGAAGATGCTAACGATGATGCTGATGACGCTAACAATGACGATGACTCTGACGACGATGATAACCATAGTAATGTTGATGATCACGATGATGATGACTTGACGAATGCTGACGATTATGTTCATGACGTTGACGATGATGCTGATGATGCAACTAACGATGATGATGACGATGATGATGATGATGATGATGATAGTGACGCTGACAATGACGGATGCTGAGGATTTAGTTGATGACGCTAACAATGTCAATGATGCTGACGACGAGGACGATGATGATGATGACGATAGTGATGCTGATAATGACGGATGCTGACGATTTAGTTGATGACGCTAACAATGTCAATGATGCTGACGACGACGACGATGATGATGATGATAATGATGCTTATGTTCTTGTACTTAGACGAAGAAACCCCACAGCTCAGTAAATGGCCATGGCGTCTTCACCTGGTGAGCACCTAGTTTTCCTTCTTCAGTTGCTGACTCGATCTCCAGTCGCCTCTCTTCTCGCTCAGATGCCGTATTAGTCTCACGTGACCATTTCCTGACCAAAAGAGTCAAAAGAGAACGCTGAGAACGAGTCATTTTCATAAGATTAAAGGCAAAGACCTAGAACTGAAACTAGAAATGTCATTGAAGGCACCTGCCCCTATGATAGAATTAAGGATATTTAACAATTATTCCTCCNGGGGGGGGGGGTGGGGGCTAGTAAGCTTGATAATGAGTTCGGTTGAACGTGTGGTCTTGACTTAGTCTTGAGAGATTTTAGGAGCCGTGAACATGGACAAGCTAAGCAACCTGATGTGGCATTGACGATGTGCTGCCTATAACGTTAATGATGACGAGGACGACAATGCTGATGCTGATGTTGATGCTGATGTGCTGAGAAAGAGGATGATGAAGATGAAGATGATGACAATGACTGCTGAAGATGCTAACGATGATGCTGATGACGCTAACAATGACGATGACTCTGACGACGATGATAACCATAGTAATGTTGATGATCACGATGATGATGACTTGACGAATGCTGACGATTATGTTCATGACGTTGACGATGATGCTGATGATGCAACTAACGATGATGATGACGATGATGATGATGATGATGATGATAGTGACGCTGACAATGACGGATGCTGAGGATTTAGTTGATGACGCTAACAATGTCAATGATGCTGACGACGAGGACGATGATGATGATGACGATAGTGATGCTGATAATGACGGATGCTGACGATTTAGTTGATGACGCTAACAATGTCAATGATGCTGACGACGACGACGATGATGATGATGATAATGATGCTTATGTTCTTGTACTTAGACGAAGAAACCCCACAGCTCAGTAAATGGCCATGGCGTCTTCACCTGGTGAGCACCTAGTTTTCCTTCTTCAGTTGCTGACTCGATCTCCAGTCGCCTCTCTTCTCGCTCAGATGCCGTATTAGTCTCACGTGACCATTTCCTGACCAAAAGAGTCAAAAGAGAACGCTGAGAACGAGTCATTTTCATAAGATTAAAGGCAAAGACCTAGAACTGAAACTAGAAATGTCATTGAAGGCACCTGCCCCTATGATAGAATTAAGGATATTTAACAATTATTCCTCCAGCCCGAATGGGCTCTGAGTCAATAACCCATGACGCCGAAGGCCGAATAAGCTATTGACTCAGAGGCCATGGGGGCGATAGGAATAATTGTTTTAGTAAAATCCAACTCGTTTCAGAAAAACATCGAGACAAAAAAACTATTGCTTGCAAAACGCGATTCAGCCGCCATTGTTTTTGTTTTCAAAACCGGCGCTTTTCGCCACTAGTGAGCTTTAACATATAGCCTAGTAGTAGCTCAACCAATCAGAGCGCAGCATTCATAATAAAACACTGGTTGGATTTTACTAAAACAAAATACACCACGAAAATACTCTGCAGCTATAGTAAAGTAAACCTGGGAGATTCTTATTTAAAAGTTGAAAAAAAAACGGTGATTCCGAACTGTTTTGTCCCAACAGCAACCATGAGGAAAAGAGTGCAATTTAAGAGTCCATATTTCGTGTTGGAGGAAGATTGTGGATGTACTTGCACATTCTACCACACTACGTGGAGGAGAAACCAAGCTTTGATGAACTTTAAACTACGATAGACTCTATAATATTTAAGTAAGGCAGACTGCTTATCGCACCGATCTCCCTTGCAGTTTCGCCAGCAAATACTGATCGTTGAAGAAAACGGATTCAGCCAATTCTATAAGGTTTAAACTCGAAAATTATTATTCAACCAAGATTTATCCCATACATTTTACTTTATAGACCGGCCATCGGTTCTAAACAGCAACAAGTTTGAACTTGGGCCTATGTTTTGCGGGAAGAAGTAGTAACATCATTCCCGGTCGATGAATCATAACGGTTTAACGCGAGGTCTGTATACGAACTGAACTCTTCCAAAGCATTTATGAAAATAAAGAAATTTTGTTTGATACCTCAGAGTTTGTTGAGTAAACCCTATGGTGTCACCTTGGAAATAAGACTTTTTCAGCACTACTTCCTCGTAGTAACAATAATTCTTTAGGATTTTACGAACTAGAAAACAAGATAGTAAATAGATGTTCATGAATTGGGTTTGGCATTCTTAAAAGGCTGTTAGAGCAAAAGGAAAAATAAAAATCCGTAGATTATTTGTACTTAGCATTCAGTATTGGTTTCGTGCTAGATGAACATAGAATAAGGTCAATATGTACCAAATAGTATGAGAACCATGATGTAAAGTGAGAAAGCTAAGATATTTCAGAGAGATGTAGAATTTATCAATTCGGCTACGAACGTAACAGCGTAACTTGGAACTTCTGAGTTCTTCTTAATTAATGCCACTGAATTCGCTGATTCCATAGCTGAACATGTAACATAACCAGCAATAACCTTATAATGCATGAAGACTTTTAGAGGTTCCAGGAAATTTTTCGGCTGATCTGAATTTGCCTGAACAAAAAATAGCAAAAATAAAACGTTATAGTGGCTATGTGCTATCTAGCTTTCAAACCTTTACATTGGTTCGATGAATATATTAATTTAATTCAGTTCTGCAGGCACAAAAACAGACATTCAGGTTAATGCGCTCATAAAGCGCTTTGATATCATTGCTTGCGCTCTTTGAAACGGCGACAGTAGTGAGATGATTAAGTCGCGCGTGCTATTCTGGGGTTAGCCTTGCCGACTCGACAACTCAGCGCGCAAAAGAGTTTTTTTCGGTCTTTTAACCCAGCTAAGCTACGAGGTTATATCTGTTAACTTAAAGTTTAATATTTTCTCGTATTTATATAAGCTAGCAGGCCTTAAAACCCCAAAGGCAGCACCATAGCACTGGTTGGGGATACACGGTCCCCATTTTTGCCAAAATTGGTTTTTCGGGGTTTACGTGTACGGCTTTGGTGTTCTCGTATTTTTCATTTTGATTTTTTTAATGATACATCTGATGTATCTCTTACCAATAAAGTGTACTGTCTTGGGCTTCATACAAATTGCGTGTTGGTTTCTTTGTTTTTTTTATATGAAGGGGACGCAAAATATTTTGTCAACTAGAACATGATAGTTCTCATCGTACGGTATCTTTGTTCAATAAACTCCTGTTTCTTTTTGCCTTACGAAAGGTTGATATCTAATGTTTCAGCCACTTATTTGCCCCGCAGAATACCGTTAAGCGACTGCTGTAGCTCAGTTTGCCCTTGATTTATATCTGTTCACAGTACAAATAAACTAAGAGTGTCCATTCAAATGAAAGCCACTTAGCGAACAAATGGCTCATTTAATTAGTTTCTATTAAACTCGCTCGTTGTTGTATTTACCAAGCAATTTAGCATTTGACCGAATCAAACGAGAGGCTTGTTTTTTCCGTGAATTGACGATCAGAAACGAAGGTCCTTAGCTTTCAGAAGCGGCACTTTTTTGGAAAATCTAGCAATGCCTCTAAGGTGTTCATATTGTCCGAGGATGGGGCAAAACGGCTTATGCAGAACTATTGATTAGCAATGACAAGCTCTCTTTTCAAAGTCTCAAAGAAACGTATTTCTCTAGGAGTTAACCCATAATTTTGGTCAAAAAATTCAATTTTTTCTTCCATCAATTGTTGGCGAAAAAAACAGAAATAATGTAAGATGTTGTTGAAAATCAAGAACAACCCCCTTTAAAACTAACAAAAATGACCATCTTTTAAAAAACTCAAAAGATCAATTTTTTTAATAGGGTTGTTAACCTATGATTTCGGTCAAATTACAATTTTTTCTTTCTTCAATTTCTGGAGATAATCTTGACAGAAAAACAGCCTTTCTAGACTAAAAGAACAAGCAGTAAAAAAATTCAAAAAATTGGCATTTTCCAAAGGGGTTAGTCCGCGGTTTTGGTCAAAAAATTTAATTTTTCCATCTCTTTATTTTAGGTAAAATAGGAAAGGAGAAAGTGTTTGGCGATATTCTAGATATAAAAACGCCTTTCTAGACAATCAAAACAAGGAGTTCAAAAAAAATAAAATCAAGAAGCAAAAAAATCGAAAAATTGGCCTTGTTACGCCGCAAAATGTAACAATTGACGCAAAATGTAACATTAACGCGAAATGTAACAACTTTTGGCGCGAAATGTAACATTAAGCCGAAATGTAACAACTTTTGACGCAAAATGTAACAACTTTTTAACGCGAAATGTAACAACTTTTTGACGCAAAATGAAACAATATTTTTAACGCGAAATGTAACAAGCAAAATGTTACAGCCTTGAAATAACTGAGAGACGTGGACATGAGCCTTGTTGATAAAGTATAAATTGTCTGGTGGTTACAAAAACAGTTTATTCATAAAGTTTTCTTATAATGTCAAATAAACTTACAAAAGGTCGTAAAACAGGTGGTGATAAAGTTACAAGTTATATATAACCTTGGAATAGCAGTATGAACAATAACAACAACGCTAACTTATTAAACATTACGTATGGAAAATATCCCAAACTATGCGAAAAAAATATGACCAGAAATGCGAACAATAACACCGTAGAAAACACGCACCAATCAGCAATTGAAATGCAAGTCAAAAGTAAAAGTTACGAAAGGTAATCTTTCAAAAGAAAATTTTGAACGTAGTCAATAAGATAGATATGAAATTTCTCATTTCTTACCGGACTTCCAGTAAATGTGAGAAATTTCAAATCAACCCAGTCCTACTGCCTTAAAACTTAACCATGCCAACGCCCATTTAAAACTGTTGATTATCTCACACAGTCGGATGACTGCTCCGCTACACTTTCCTTTTAGGGAAAATGGGAGGAGGTGGGTAAAAACAGACAGCGTCGGATATAAACAGAAAGCGTCTTCATTCGACGAAAGTGTAAAAAGAATGATCAGCAATCGATACTCGCCTCAATTTCATACGGGCTCAACTCCCTAGAGGGAGTATGCTAAAAATGCACCATCCTAACCAATCTAATACGTCCTAGATGTTGTAACGCCAACTTTCTTTTCAGCGTCACACATATGTACAGAAAGATATACTAAACAGCAATTCGTTCTACTGTTTCAGGATTTAGTTACTATTATCGAAAATGGTTTGTAAGTTTATTTGACATTATAAGAAAACTTTATAAATAAACTGTTTTTGTAACAACCAGACAATTTACACTTTATCAACAAGGCGCATGTCCACGTCTCTCAGTTATTTCAAGGCTGTAACATTTTGCTTGTTACATTTCGCGTTAAAAATATTGTTTCATTTTGCGTCAAAAAGTTGTTACATTTCGCGTTAAAAAGTTGTTACATTTTGCGTCAAAAGTTGTTACATTTCGCGTTAATGTTACATTTTGCGTCAATTGTTACATTTTGCGGCGTAACAGGCCTTTTTCCAAAGGGGTCAGTCCATAGTTTTGGTCAACAAATGGGATTTTTTCCACCTTTTTATTTTTGGCAAAAAGGCAAGAAAAAAGTCTTTAGCGATATTCTAGAAAGAAAAAACGCCTGTCTACACTATAAAAACAAGAAGCTTAAAAATAAAAAAATTGGCCTTTTTTCAAAGGGGTTAGTCCATGGGTTTGGTCAAAAAAAGGGATTTTTTCCACCTTTTTATTTTCGGCAAAATAGGCAAGAAAAAAGTCTTTGGCCATATTCTAGAAAGA